TTGCAATTCCTTGCTTTTGAACTGTTATGCTGGCAGGAGCTGGGGCCAGAGACGGGAGCTCACTCCGTCACATGGCAGTCGGGTCTCGAACTTCCAAGCGACAGACCTTCTGGTCTGCAGCTCAGCGTCTTAACCTCTGAGCCACTGCGGCCCCATATTCGCAGGAAATAGCGCTGTACAATTACAAAATAGCTCCGAAAGAATTTTGGGCTCAAGGGTCAGCGACTAGATTAATCCCACAGTGTATAGTTCATACTATCTGTTGCTTTAAGGCCCCTACTAGGGAATCTGCGAATCATTTCATGTGTCACGTTAATGTTTACACTTTGCTTCACTTCTGTTTCCAAATCTCTGCTCCGTGCCAGAGTTCTGCAACTCAAATCCCATTGCCATTGTTTATTGGACCCCATCCTGTCAATTGGTATGGATTTATTCTGTGTAACCTGCCTTGAGCCCCAGGTGAGAAAGGCGGACTATAAATGACGTACATAAATATTTGGTTGTGCACCTCACTGAGACTGCTTATTATACACCCGGGATGCGCATCTGATGCATGCAGCTCCCAAACTGAGTGAGCCATCTGGGAGCAGAAGTCTGGCCCTGGTGCACTTCCCAGGGCGCCAGTTTGGGGTAGTGGTTAGGAGAGCGGACTCTAATCTGGGAGAACCGGGTTTGATTCCCCACTCCTCCACATGCAGCTGCTGGTGTGACCTTGGGCCAGTCACAAGTGCCCTCAGAGCTGTTCTCTCAGCCCCCCCTACCTCACAGGGTGTCTGCTGTGGGGAGGGGAAGGGAAAGGAGATTGTAAACTGCTCTGAGACTCCTTCAGTTAGTGAAGGGCGGGGTATAAATCCAATCTCCTCTTCTTCTTCTTCTTCCCTGTTCTTGGATGATTTTATGGCACCAGCTGTTTAGGAATGGCTGTAGCCTACACAAGCAGAGGGACTGCAGTGCAATTACAGTGGGAGAAAAAGTGGGTCACAGACCAATTCCTCCCCACGTTTTAGTCTTTGAGGGACAGATCACTTGCCTTATCAGTTTAAAAGTTCCTTATGGGGGGGGGGAGTCCAGACCCCCTCATCCTGGAAGGGAATGATTGCTCATTGCTTGGCTGAGACCTGGCGCATGCATGTGTTTGGAGACAGCGCAAAGACAGCATGCATGTGCAGCTCTCGGTCAGTGTTCCCTCTAAGCTGAGTTAGTGTGAGCCAGCTCACAGTTTTTTCGCCTCCGGTTCACCCATTTTTGCCTGAGCTCCGGAAGGATGGCTCTAGTTTGGGTCCATACGGATTTTTAAAAACACTTTTCCTTCCCGAATCCCACAGTCTCACGGGCATCCGAGAATCTACCCTGACGGTTACCCTGGCCCTGTGTTTGGACACCCAGCCGATCCACATGTGGGTCAATCCAGCGATTCTCTTTGGTCTTGTTCATAACCTGCAGCCTCTGTGGTCCCCCTCCAGTCTGCCCGGCTGGGTGGGTGGGTGAATCTCCCCCTCCGGCCCCTCCCCTCCGTATTGCGTAGGACGAGAACTGCAGCTGAGAGGCAGGCAGCTGAGCCGCATCTCCAGCCCCCGCCGCCGAGGGCTCGCTTAATTCTCTGGAAATTCGCTCTCAGTTTGAAGATGACAATAATAGCTTAAGAATAATTGACGTGTTAATAAGAAGCTGCTTCCCAACACAGCGTTTTGCCCGCTTTGGTGAAGGAGAGACGGCGTGGTGGTGGTGGTGGGAGGAAGGGAAGTGGCTGAAAGCGGAGGTGGGAGCATAATCTGAGCAGAGACATTGCAGGGGAAGGGGGTGGAGGGGATGGGAGAGGTTTCCTCCTGGAAACTAGGGTTGCCAACTTTCCCTCCCTCCCGGGGCTCCTGTGCCCTTAATGCTGGTCTGGCGTGCCAAAATGTCGCCGGTGAGGCTTCCTTCGTCATTTCCAGCTATGTCCGGAAACAAACTCTGCATGCTGCAGTTCTGTACACTGGGAGGCCCCCATTTAAATCACAGCCAAAGCAGTTGGCAACCGAGAGTCTGATTTTTTCCCCTTGTCCCAATTTCCCTCTGCCTTGCGAAGTGATGGGTGGGGGAGCCAGCCTGGCCTGCTCCGGTGCTTTTAACAAGAGGTCTGATCTGCAGAATTCAGCCGCTGAAGCTTTTCATGGTATGGAGCTAAATGAAATCAGCTGGATTTGAGTCCAGTAGCACTCCGAGCAGGGACCCTCAGCTTGGTGATCGTAGGACCAATGTGGGGCCTACGTTTTCTGGCACCCACCAAGTGTTTTGGGGAGTGGGTGGGGCCAGGTAAGGCTTTTGCCCAGCAAGGCTTCTGATTGGCCATTAGAGATTTGATTGGCCATACAGATTTTTTAAAACGTTGCTTGGGCAGCAGCTGCCACCACAGCACAAGGACCTGCACTGAGTGACTGAATAGGGCTGCCAAGTCTCGTTGAATCGCGGCGGGGGATCATCATTCTTTACAGGAGCTCTGCCGCGGTGGACGGCAACAGGCGTTGCACCGCCGTCGCCAGGATGTGACGCTACGCATCGCTCTGGCAACGGGGCTAGGGTTGCCAAATGTCTCTTACCTCCTCGGCGGGGGACCCCAGGCAAAGTGCACGCGTGCCGCACCTACGTCACCTGGATGTTACGTCACACGCTGGGGGCGGGGCCACGGCCATTTGAGGGGAAAACTCTATGTTTTCCCCTCAAATGGCTGTGGCCCCGCCCCCAGCGTGCGACATCACATCCAGGTGACATGCACGTGGGGGTGGGGTTTCCCCCGGGCCCCGATTCCGCAGGGGCGGAAATCGGGGCTCAAAAGCAGGGGGAAATCCGCCCCCCGGGGGCATTTGGCAGCCCTAAACGGGGCTGTTTGGAGTCCCGTTGCCAGAGCGACACGTAGCGTCACATCCAGGTGATGGCGGTGCAATGCCTGTTGCCGTCCCCCGTGGCAGAGCTCCTGTAAAGAATGACGATCCCCCACCGCGATTCAATGAGACTTGGCAGCCCTATGACTGAAGTTAAGCTGAGGCAGCCATTTTGTGGCCAGCACTGACTGCTTCAGCAGCCATTTTGTGGCAGCCATTTTGTTGCTGCGCCCACCATAACGTGTCAGAATTCCAAATGTGCCTGCTGGTTCAGAAAGGTGGGGGACTAACCGAATTTCCTGGGTATGGGCTTTCGAGAGTCAAAGCTCCCTTCACCAGGCATGAATCAGAATCTGACAAGGCCAGCTGTGACTCTCAACGCATAAGAACATAAGAGAAGCCCATGTTGGATCAGGCCAATGGCCCATCTAGTCCAACACTCTGTCACACAGTGGCCAAAAATACCAGGTGCCATCAGGAGGTCCAGTAGTGGGGCCAGGACATGTATCTGACTAAGGGAGCTTTGACCCATGAAACCTAGACCCAGAAAATCTTGTTGTGCTCTAAGGTGTTACTGGTAATGCTCACGGGTTGGTAACACAATAGTGACACTAAATGGTGAGAATTAAGATCCAGGCGGGTAGCCGTGTTGGTCTGAAGCAGTAGAACAAATCTAGAGTCCAGTGGCACCTTTAAGACCAACAAAGGTTTATTCAAGGTACTAGTGGAAAAGCCCGTTGTAGACTCAAGACAACGAGCTCTAGAAAGAGTCCGGCCTCGTGGTCCCCGCCAAATGGCAGGGGCGCCCCCCCCTGTCGGGGTTCTCCTGCTGGCGTGCTGAAGCGGGCCAGCAGAAGCACCCTCCCGCGTCCCTCGCAGCTCACCTGCCTCAGCGAGCGAGCTAGGAAGGGTGCGGGGGGGCTCTGTTGGGCTTCTCCTGCTGGCCCACTTTAGCAAGCCAGCAGGAGAAGGGCCAGGGAGACATTTGAATGTCTCCCCCTGAACTCCCGCAGCCTTTCCAGCTCGTCTGCCTTGGCGTACGAGCTGGGATGGGCGTGGGGCAGGCTCAGAAGCCGGGGGGGGGGGCAAGACAGGCCGGCGGCGGTGAGCGCACCGCTGGGTGAGAGGCCCCACACCACCCGCTGTTATGTATTGACTTGAATGTAGGTACTGACATGCGAATCGCCTGATTGAAAACCAATGTTAAGCTTCAGCCTCAGAAGCCAGTGGGGGGCGACGAAGACAAGCTGGTGGCGATGAGCGCACCGGCAGTGGATTCCCCACGCCACCCTCTCTTTCCGGAGGCCTCCCAGCAGCCTCAGGGCCAGAAGGAGTGACCAGGCCATGTGAAGGCCAGCCCGGCCTTCCCCCTGGCTCCCTGCTGGAGCGTCCATCCTGCCGGATGGCTCCTTGGAGAGTGAGGGCGAGAGGCTCGTCGGCAGGTCTGTGGGTGGGACTGACGCAGCAGTGGAATGCAAGGCAGCCAATCCATAGGACCCAGGGTGAGTGGCAGACGAGCGGGCAAACTGATTTTGCCGTGCATTGAATGTTGCCACCCCAAGTCGCTTTTATTATAAGGGGAGAGATGAGCTTCCGTGTGCAAAACACACTTTGTCAAATACATTGGGTTGCCAGGTAAGGTTCAAACTCATAGACGAGCTGAACAGCAAATGAACGTGCAACATATCTTAAAACATCTTCATCGTGTTACATGTTCTTTTGTTGTTCTGCCTCTGTCTATAAGTCGGAACCTTACCTGCTATTCCAATGTATTTGGCAAAGTGTGCTTTGCACATGGAAGCTCATACCTTGAATAAGCCTTTGTTGGTCTTAAAGGTGCCACTGGGACTCTACATTGGTTAGAATTAAGGAGCTCTTCTGCTCTTCTTAGGCTGGGGAAGGGCAGAATGTGTCTCTGAACCAGGACATAAAGACTCTTAGGAGGCTGAGAGGAAAATGACCCCGTGACAGTGAAGGAAGCCCGTGGGAAGAGCCCCCGGAGATCAAGGGGATTCAAAAGCTGTAGCAAGGGATGCTGGGAAAGAACACACCTTCACTCACTCTTGTACTCGCCCCATCTCGGTGCCAAGCACATATAACGAAGGACACCAAAGCACGAGTCCGTGTCATGAGATCATATACATATATATATATATCTATATTTCATTTCTCTTTCCCCAGCTTTCGGCGAAATTTCCGTCAGTCCCACATCACATCCGTCAGTCTGGGTGGCGATTCTCACGATTCCCCAGACACCGATTCCTCTCTGCCGGTTCCGGTTTTTCGGTAAACGTGGCCGGGGAAACTACTGTGCTCCGGGATTCTGATTTGTTCCCTCACCCTCGGGTAAAAAGGAGCGGGGGAGGGACTGCGGCCCCCTCCCCCTCCTGACCCTGGTGAAACAACCTTGTAAACATTCGGCCCGGGCCATCCTCCGCCTCAGTCCCTTTTGCCTTCTCCCACAGCTGTTGTTTCTTTGCACATCACAAAAAGAGAGAGATGGCGCACGGGCTCCTCCTCTTCCCCAGGAGAGGACTCTGTGGCCAAACATCTGAGGGGGGGGGTATCTTTAATTTCAGAGTCGGCCGACGTCTCCCCCTACTTTCCCCCTGTGATCTGGCCTTAGATTTGGCAACGGCTGAGGACAAAGTTGTAAGAAGCAGGTTACAGGAAAGAGGAAGCTGGACCTCACCCTGATACCACCCCCACCCCCCAGGCAGTGTGGAGGGTCTCCATAGGTAAGGAAGGGCCTCTTCCTTGAGAGAAGGAAGAAGCCACAGAAAGAAGAGCTCAGTGATAGGGGGAGGTGGTGAGAGGAAAAGGAAGCCTCCCCGTCCCACCAAATCCGATTGGTCCATGGCGTCTGGGAAGAAGAGGGGCAGCAGAACCGCAAAGGGCCTACTGCGCAAAGATGGGGGGGGCATTTTTCTCCCCGTGGGGGGGTCCATCTACTCTGATCTTTTTGCCGTTCTTCCTTTGGGTGGAGGAGGACTCTTAAGATTGGCTACGGCCTTCTTCACGGAGGTAGAGGAGCAGCTGCTGGAAAAGAGGGGCTGGTGACTCCCCACCCCCACCCCGTCCACCGTGCCCCTTCTCCTGATGCTGGACCCATATAACCTTCAGAGTGCAAGGAAGAGAAAGAGGAGGGGGACGTGGGCCCCGATGCCTCCTAGGGAGCCAAATCGCTTAAGACCCAGAGCGGAAAGAGGCGGCGGCCGGCTCTCGTGGAGGAAAGGCAGGGTGTAGAGCAAGGAAGAGAAGCGGCAGGGTTTTTTTGAGGGGGAGGGTTGCTATGGGGGGGGCTATTCGATCTCTAGGATAAGATCGTCCCCTTCCAAGCTCATATCCGGTTTAACGTAGATTTTTTTTATGGTGCCCGACAAGGGGGAGTTGACCACCATCTCCATCTTCATGGCACTCAGGACGCAGAGCGGCTGCCCCTTCTCGATGGCGGCCCCCTCCTGCACTTTGATGTCGATCACTTTCCCGGGCATGGGGGCCCCGATCTGGCCTTTAACATCCTTCAGGGCTTTGGGGTGGAAATGCATTTCCTGCAGGGGGGAAGAAATGATAGGATCATAGTCCAGAGGTCTTCTTTCCTGGTGTGCTACCTTCCTATAGGTGGGGACGGGAGAACCTCTCTGTTGTTTTTAATATGGGTGAATGGAGGAAAAATGGCCGTTAGCTAGAAATCTTGTCCCTGATGTCCTAGCTTTCTACATGCGGGGAGTTTGTTGTTTGTTAAAAGTGGGGACGTATCCAACTAGGTGCCTCTCCCATCTGCATTCTGGAGTGGCAGCATCTCACATCATTCTTTTGAACCTACGAGTCACAGACCAGCAGGCAGGATTTGTTTCTGGGGGGCACACAGGGGCGTTGCTAATTAAATTAAATGGTGAGCGAGCGGACAGATAGCTCAGCTCCCCATCAGCAGCCCCGGCTGACTCCAGCCCCTGCCCAGTGGCTGCGCTCCCCACGCTTGGTTGCCAGAGGGAAACCGGCCAGGCGACTTTCCCGTGGCCCCCGTCGGCTCCCTTCCCAGCCTCCCTGCTGCCCTCGGGCCCTCCCACCTCCAGATGGAGCCCCTCGGTCAACCCCTTGAGCCTGCACCTTTGCCTGGCTTCCTCCGCTCGGGGCCCAGCTGCATGGCTCCATGATCCCCACCTGCAGTGGCGAGGGCGACCCGGAGGCCTTGGGGTACAAATGTGGGCAGGAAGGACGGGGTGGCAGGGCTCCATGGCTCTCCCTTGTCAATGAGAAGGGGCAACGTGGCAGACCCAGCAAGCCCAGCTTCCCTTCCCCTCAGTGAAGGCATGCTGCAGATATGAAAGGGGGCTAAGGCCCTGACGAGTCAGCTCTTAAGAAAGGGAACGGGCAGATGAGGAGGAAACTGTTCACTGCTATTCACTGTACCAGCACGCCCCCATCTTCCCCTGGCACCCGCCCCCCCCGCCAAGGGAGGCAGAGCCAATTTTCTGGCTCCCTCCCGCAACGCGCCTGCGCCTCCGGAACGCCAAAAGGGAGAGGCGCGAGGGAAGCTTCAGAATGACGGGGAAGGGAGGTGTTTTTCAGCGGAGCCTCCCCTTCCTAAAGCCACATCTGAGCGCCGGCTGCGCCCTCCCTCCCACCCAATTCTTCCAGACCGTTGTCTTTTCTGTTTTCAAAAGCTAGCTAGAACTTAAGAACTCCTTGCCTGGCTGCATTCTGACGGCGCCCCTGAATCCGGGATAATGCAGCCCAGGGGATGCAGATGCGAAGAGCCAGCCGCTGTTGAGATCAGGCTCCAGAGGGCTGCAGCAAAGGAGGCCAGGGCGGCGAAAGGGTTAAGCGGGCTTCTCTCTCTTCCCCCCCCCGGCTCACTTCTCTCCGCCCCCCCGGCGGCGAGGGAGTTCGTAGAGCGTTCCGTGCGCATGCGCAGGGGACACTCTGTCACTTTCGGGGGGGTTTAAGTATCCCCCCGATATTTTTTGAAAGGTTTCAGGTTTTTGTGCACACCTGGGGACTGCCCCAAGTGTGCACAAACATCTCCCTCCCCCCCAGGTGCCCC